GCACGGCCCCCCCCCCCCACTCCCTGCTCTGGGGGACTGCGGAAATCAGTCCCCCAACAATGCAGGCTCCACTAGGCCCTGGCACCTCGGGGTAGCGCAGGCCCCATGCTCAGATTCAGTTGGATTCCTGGGCCAGCAGCGTCACCCCTCCTGTGGAGAGAGGACAAAACAAGCTCAGAGCTGGAATGAGGTGCAGCCACTGAAACCCAGCTGCCCCCCCTCAGAGCCAGGAGAGCTGCTCTCGTGCGCCGTTAGAGCCAGGCGAGCCGTCCCCCTGTGCCATTACGGGCGGCTGTTCCCCGGCTGCCCTGCCCCAGAGGTGGCTGCATTCCAGAGCCAGGCGAGCCGTCCCCCTGTGCCATTACGGGCGGCTGTTCCCCGGCTGCCCTGCCCCAGAGGTGGCTGCATTCCAGAGCCAGGCGAGCCGTCCCCCTGTGCCATTACGGGCGGCTGTTCCCCGGCTGCCCTGCCCCAGAGGTGGCTGCATTCCAGAGCCAGGCGAGCCGTCCCCCTGTGCCATTACGGGCGGCTGTTCCCCGGCTGCCCTGCCCCAGAGGTGGCTGCATTCCAGAGCCAGGCGAGCCGTCCCCCTGTGCCATTACGGGCGGCTGTTCCCCGGCTGCCCTGCCCCAGAGGTGGCTGCACCGTAGAGCCAGGAGAACTGTCCCCGTGCACCGTTACAAGTGGCTGTTCCCCGGCTGCCCTGCCCCAGAGGTGGCTGCACCGTAGAGCCAGGAGAACTGTCCCCGTGCACCGTTACAAGTGGCTGTTCCCCGGCTGCCCTGCCCCAGAGGTGGCTGCACCGTAGAGCCAGGAGAACTGTCCCCGTGCACCGTTACAAGTGGCTGTTCCCCGGCTGCCCTGCCCCAGAGGTGGCTGCACCGTAGAGCCAGGAGAACTGTCCCCGTGCACCGTTACAAGTGGCTGTTCCCCGGCTGCCCTGCCCCAGAGGTGGCTGCATCCCAGAGCCAGGGGAGCTGTCTGGGACATCCCTGGACGTGCGTAGGAGCAGGCAGCTCAGTGTTGCACCCCCCACGGTGGGTTTGCCCCACGTGCTGGGCTAGGGGCCAGGTGAGGCATCGAAGGACACGGGCAGGGAGCTGTCCTCTGACCCGCTCCAGTTTGGGAGGTGCCATCCCACCAGGGGACCCCGGGTGTCCCTCCACCTGGGCAAGGGGACACAAGGGGCCCTCCAGGGTCCCACTCCCGCCCGTCACTCCCCAAGGACTGTCTAGTCTGGATGCTCTTTCAAAAAAGAGCACTTTCGAAAAAAGGCATTCTTCCTCTGTGGTCAAAAAAACTGCCGAATTCTTTTGATTTACTTTTGAAAGAATGCAGCAGTAGTCTAGACACAGGGAAAGTTTTTTTCGAAAAAAGGCTACTTTTTTCGAAAAAACCCTGTAGTATACACTGTAAAGTGCTACCAGACCATTTATTGTTTTGTTCATAGTTGTTCTACTTCTGTATCTAAGAGAGTTATGAACTTGTAACCATTCAGGAAAACCTGTTGTGGGGTTTCAAGGACTGAAACTTACCTCTGCTAAGCTTTTCCCATGGATGTATATACTTTTGTTTTAAATATTTTCTGTGTAACACTTTCACGTTAAGAACAAATGTGCTTGCTTGTGAAGAGCTGTGTGGTAACTTATAGCCACAGTTACATTTTGAAGAACTTCTGGAGAGAAAGTAAAGCTCAGATGTGGTCTGTTTAGGCTGTCTAGATTTGTCAGAGTATCATGGAGTAGACAGGGAACTGTGCAGCCTAGAAAACACCTGGTTTGGAGGGAAAAAATGTAGGTCTCTGATAGCTGAGGAGCCTCAAGTGGGTGCCCTGGGTGGACCACAAAGGGGATATACAGGTGCAACTGCATCTGCATAAGGAGTGGGATTGCTGGTGGCACAGGAGATCTGGAGTGTCTGAGGGAATTGCTTGTGTGACTTCTTGTTTGCCAGTATGTTGAACGGAGGTGGTCTTTGTGACTGGTTTGGTGTGCCTTATAGTGGAAGAACCCCAGGTTTGGGCTCCAAGTAGCATTGTTTCTAAGCAATTTGCCCTGATTTGCCCCCCTCAGCGGTGCCCCCAGCCCCGTGGTAATGACACCATCCCCATGCAGGGCTATGTGGGGCTCTCCCCCAGCCCTCTGGGGGCTGCAGTAAATGGTAGTGGGGATGCTGAGAGCCATTTAACAAAAACACCAACTTGGCACATGCTAGATGCCACCCCAGTCAGCCCGCAGCCGCCCCTGCCCAGAGGTGTCCGCATCCCAGCGCTGAGTGAGCCCGCCCCGTGTGTGCACCGCCCCTGCCCAGAGGTGGCTGCATCCCCGCGCCGGGTGCGGCCGCCCC